GCGGGGTGGACCCACAACTCGCTAGGCGCGTTCTGCAGGGCCATCGGCACGGACAGTGCGACAGTACTGCTGGACTTTAAGAAGTTTTATGAGCATGTGCGACATGCTGATCTGTTTGCGGCGGCCAGGCAGTTCGGATTCAACTTGGAGCTTCCCAGGGGTCTCGTGACGGTCTACTCTGGGTTCAGGACGTTGGTGTATGATGGGGCGATCTCGGATTTCATGCAGGTTACGGGGGCCATCATAGCGGGGTGCTCGGCAGCGACGACGTTAGCGAAGCTTCTCCTGATCGGTCCTCTCTCCTCGGTGGTCCACGGCAGGCCCCAGGTGCAGGTGCGTAACGTTGTCGACGACGTTACTTTGCAGTGCTGCGGCCCCCGCCAGTTGGTGTCGGACCAGCTGCCCGCGGCGGTGGAGCATATTTTCGTTTTTTTTCGGCGAGCTCGAGCTCCCTGTGCACATGTCAAAATGCAAGTACTTGGCCAGCGGCGCGGAGCTAGCGAGCGCCCTGGAGAGTCGGTGGTCTCTTCCAGACTCAGGTAAAGTCGACGCGGCACGGAACCTCGGCACGGATGCGAATCCCGGGACGCTGCGTAGAGTTGGCATCGCCAGGGGACGCTGGAAGAAGGCTACACGGACTTCGGGGCGCTTGGTCAACTTGCGTGAAGCGGGTGTGGACGTTAAGTGGATCCAGCGAGTGGGCCTTGCAGCCTCCGCTCTGTGGGGAGTATGCGTGGTGGGGGTACCGCCCACGGAGTTGCGCCAGCTGCGAGTGGCCGCTTGTAAGAGTCTCGGCAGATACTCTCGCGGGGCCTCGATTGGGCTCAGGATGTATTCGTGTCGAGACGGCCGTCGGGTGGATCCATGGGTTATAGCTCTGGGCCAGGTTGTTGCCCAGTGGGGCACGGCGTGCTGGGAAGGTTGCCCCAAGCCCCAGGTCCTCAACAAGACTCTGGAGTTGGCCCGTGTCAGATGCTCGGAGTCCAGGCGGCCTTGGGTGGCAGCAGCGTCGCCGGGGGATGTCTATCTTCTCATGGTTTGGGGGCGTAGGCTGGGATATTCCCTCGGCCGCGATGTCGACGACTGACGGGGGCTCCGAGGTGAACCTTGTCAGGCTGAGCCCAGCTGCGGTGCGCAGATTAGTCGAGGAAGGAGTGAGGCGCGAGTCTGATAGGCTGTCGCTCAAAGCTTTTTCCTGCCCCTGGGTGCTTCCGATTGTGTGGGGTAGCCTGGAACCTCTGCTCCACGGGACTTTCGCAGAGCTGGGCCTCTCGCCAGCAGCGGGCCTTGAGGGCCCTGGTCTCGGGGGCGTGGTGGTCCCAGGCCCGCTTGCACAAACGGGGGCTTGCCGCGTCAGGGGCGTGTGCAGTGTGTGGGCACCCAGGCGGCTCGTTGTGGCACAGGTGTTTTGAGTGCGATGCCCACGCCGCGCCGCGGCGGGACCATGGTTCCCCCGGCCTGCAGAGGCGGGCCCAGAGGGTGAAAGCTTGGAGTTTTGAAGCGGGGGAACCTTTTGCCGGGGGGGGGGGTCCCTGATCCCAGCCCCGTGTTCGAGCTGCCCGAGAGCAGGCCTGCGGCCTGACCAGCAAACAATCCACTGGTTTCAGCGGCCCGCGTCGGGCTGCATGTCTGGCCTTCTGCTCCTGGACGGGTCCGCGTTGTTCCCGAGCTCCAGGACGCTTTCCAGGGCTGGTTGGTCTGTGGTCAGTTGTGACAGGTTTGGCCAGGTCCTGTCTGCGGCTTATGGGCCAGTACCGCAGGACCAGGCCCCTTTCCAGTCATCGAGGGAGGCTGAGGATTCTGCAGTCAGAATGCTGGCCCTCGTTGCGTTGCCGCCCGTCGATCTCTATATAGATTGTAAAGGCACGGCGTCGACGCTGCGGGCGGGCCCTGGAGCGGGCTCGGGAGCGGAGAACCCCCGAGCCCATATGTGGGCTCCGTTCTGGGCGGCGTTCGAGCCGAATAAGTTCACGGCCCACAAAACGAAGGCCCATTTCAGCATAGTAGATGCGCAGAACGATCGCACCACCCTTTGGGAGAAGCGGGGCAATGATGCCGCCGATGAATTTGCGAAGCGTGGTGCCGCCCTCCACGGAGTGGGGGAGAGCGAGTGCCACCTCTGGCGTGGCCTGGTTGAGGCCGCTCGTGAGGTGGGTCGGTGGAGTGGGCGTTTGCACGCGTTGGTGGGGGACGGCGAGGCCTGCCAGGACCATGATGACCTAATGGAGTTGTATACAGCTGGCAGAGGACGGGCGCAGGCGTCGACAGAGGCGCAGCCCGACGACGTGCCTGCTCCAGCCCCCGCCGCTGCGCCAGCGAGTGTGCCCATGTTGCAGTTGCCAGCAGAGGGTTCCGAGGCCTATCGTGACATGGGTTACTCCTTCAACGGCCACCCGGTGCTGCACGCGACGGTCAATGCGAGGTCGGGCCATGAATATGGCAAGACCATTAATTTTTGTTGTGCTCGCGGTGCCTGTTTCAGCGTGGAGCGGCCGACTCGAGCTCTCCTCAGGCCGTGCCTCCGCGAGAGCGCGGCTTCGGGCTTGAGGCGGCAGCTCGCGAGGATTAAGGAGAGCAAGTAAACGTCTGGCGAGGAAGGGCTGAAGGACCTGTCCTTGAACCCCCCCGAGGGAGTGCCGCACGCTGTTCGTGTGCGACTGGCCTCGATTTTTGGCCCTCTTGATTCTGCCCCTGGCGCCTCGGCTCAGGTCTTGGGGGGAGGTGGGCTTCGGGGGGCGAGTGCCTTGGGGGGGATGACGTCCCGAGCCGAGGTGCTGAGGGCCTTCGGCCTCCTGGAGGGGGACCTTCCAGCCATCCGCGCTGATGGGCTCCGCCGCTTGCGTAAGGAGGCCGAGGAGGGGCCCGAAGAGCCCCTGGACGGGGATTTCGAGGAGGCATCCCAAGATTCGGAGGCCTCCGACTCCGAGCGATAGCTCGACCGTACTGGCTTTAGGGCGCTTGCTCATCTCATCTCACCACGTCCGCCTCGTCTTCCACCGGGGAGGGAGGACCAGGTCGCGTGCGTTCCGGAACTGTCCAGGGCCCTCTTCGGGGGCAGTCGTCGCCACGGCTGGATCCGCACCGAGGTCTGGGCCGGAAGGCGCCCCAGGGCAGGTCGGAGGGTGATGATGCTGGTGATGATGAAGCTGATGCTGGTGATGATGATGGTGGTGATGTTGATGTTGATGATGAGGGTGATGATGATGATGGTGGTGACGGTGAAGACGGTTGTGGTAGTGACGATGATGGTGATGATGATGTTGATGATGATGCTGATGATGATGATGCTGATGGTGATGATGACGACGAGGAGGAGGAGGAGGAGGAGGAGCAGAAGGAGGCGGAAGGGGAGGAATATGATGCTGTTGCTGATGCTGATGCTGCTGCTGCTGATGAGAAGGAGGAGGAGGAGGAGGAGGAGGAGGAGGAGGAGGAGGAGCATGATCAGGACGAGCAGGAGGAACATGAGGAGGACGACCAGTGCAAGCCCAAGACTCATCGACGATATTGGAATAAGCCCTCCCGCCAAGCTCCCTTTGCATAAGCCCCTACAGGAGTTCATTTCCACTGAGGGAACTGCGCCTCGTTGGGGGGCAACCGTTTGAAGACCCTGGAGCATTCCAAAATGCCAGTCTCGGGACTCCAATGCCACGGATCAGTTTGAATGTTGCGCTTTGACGCTCCTGATTTGTGTCAGAACACCATTCCGGGGACACACCGCGAATCAACATATCTGTTGCACCATCACAATCCTGAACCCTTCCAAGAACCAATTTCTGGTACGTTGACCCTTGCAATCCGCGAAACTCTTGTATTAATTTAAGACGATTGTGCGCGGTTCTAAGGCGAGAGCCACATTTTGAGAACAAATCGCCCTCGATCCTTGAAGCTCTTGCACTTTCTTTAAGCGAAGGAGCGCGGCGCTGAAGCGAGAGCCACATGTTGAAAACGAACCGCCCTCAATCCGTGACGCTCTTGCGAGCGTTTGAAACGAATGTGCGCGGCGCTAAACCGAGAGCCACATTTTGAAAACGGCCCGCCCTCAATCCGTGAAGCTCTTGCACTATTTGAACAACGAGTGTGCGCGGCGCTCAGACGAGAACCATATCTTGAAAACCACCCGTTCTCCATTTGTGAAACTGATGCCAATGTGTTGGCTTCAGGGTCTTAAGCGGTGAGAAGGTCTCAGTGGCAACTCACGGCCCGCCCTTTTGACCGGCCTCGGGGTGCGTCAGGGAGGAGTTATGTATAAGGACCAGGAAGAAAGAGGAGGTGGAGGAGGAGGAGGAGGAGGGGGAGGAGGAGGATGGGGAGCAGGAGGAGGACGAGGAGGAGGAGGAGGAGGAGGAGGGGCAGGCGGAGCAGTGGGAGGATGAGGAGGAGCGACAACAAAAGCACGACTGGCGTTTGCGTGCCGCTTCGGACCCTGAGACCCTCACGGATGCACCCCAGGCCTGAGTGTTTTAGCTGGGATCGTCTCGGGATGTTGGATGTCCAGGAAGGTGAAATAATAGTCGATGGCGGAGGGGGAGGAGACGCAGTGGAGGAGTGAGGAGGAGGAGGCGAAGGGGAGGAGGAGGAGGAGGAGGAGTGAGGAGGAGGAGGAGGAGGAGGAGGAGGAGGAGGAGGATGAGGTGGGAGATGCGTGGAGGATGAGACGCGGTAATTTTTGGAGGGCGGGAAGGAGGAGGCGCAGCTCTGAGGTTCTGGGGCGCCGCGTCCGATTCCTGCGACCGCTCCTGCCGCTCCTCCTCCTCCTCCTCCTCCTCCTCCTCCTCCTCCTCATCCTCCTCTGCCTCGCCCCTGCCCTCCCCCTCGACCCCTCACCTCGCCAGCATTACCCTTCTGCACCCAGCCCCCTGCCTCTTCTTCCCCCTCCCTCTCATTTCAACCCTTTCCTCTTATCATCTCCTCCGCCTTCTGCTCTCAGTGGAGGAGGAGACGAAGGTGGCGAGAGGAATCGGAGGAACACCTGCTGCGCGCTCAGCTGCGGCGGTCAGGAGCTGTGCCTCAACGGCCCCGAGGAAAAGCTCGGCCAGATACGGTACTGCGAGCCGGTCATGTACCTCGCAGGCCTCGCTCGTCTCTGCGATGCTGCTCTGCTGCTCCTGCTCGCGCTCGCGCCCCCGCCACCGCGGCTCATCCAGCTCCGTGGCCGTTGGGCCTGGAGGTGCCATTTGCCTTTTCTGGCCTGTGCCCTCTTCTACCCGCTTGACGCTCAACCTGCCCCTCCCCGTGCTCGCAGGAAGGAGGCGGAGGAGGAAGAGGAGGAGGAGGAGGAGGAGGAGGAGGAGGAGGAGGAGGAGGAGGAGGAGGAGGATGAGGCATCTTGGGAGCTTTTGCTGCACTCTTGGGGCCTCCTGGGCGCCTCCTGAGGGCCTCTGGGAGGTCTCTCTTGGAGGCCTCGCCGCGGGAGCATGCGGTGCACCCCTGCGGCATGCGACCCCGCACAGCTCTGCGCAGCTACACGCTGTATCGGGAGGGGGGCGGTGGAGGAGGCCGAGGTCGAGGAGGGAGCAAAAAGAGCCGGTGTTGCAAGAATCACGGCGTCAGAGGTCTGGCTCCCTCGAGCTTGCTCCCCCCGCATGCGCGCGCGCGGCGCCGCAGCCAGTCCCCTACTCAAGCCAGCCAGCGCAGCGAAGGGACCGAACCGCGACTCGACGGCTGGAATTGGACCGCGCGGCTGGGAGAGGAAGGAGGAGAAGGAGAACAGAGGAGAGGAAGGGGGGAGCGAAAAGGAGGAACAGGAGGAGGAGGAGGACGGAGAAGCAGGAGGGTGTCTGTGTTGTACACGACCCTAGGGCCAGAAGCGTCAGCGTCACGATGATGATGATGCTGATGCTGATGCTGATGATGATGATGATGATGATGATGATGATGATGATGATGATGATGATGATGATGATGATGATGCTGATGCTGATGCTGATGCTGATGCTGATGCTGATGCTGATGATGATGAGCATGATGATACTAATGATGATGATGACGATGATGATGAGGATGATGAGGATGCTGATGATGATGACGATAATGATGTGTATGCCGATGATGGTGATGATGAGAAAATGATGCTGCTGATGATGATGATGCTGCTGCTGATGATGATGATGCTGATGATGATGAGCATGATAATAATGATGATAATAATAATGCTACTGATGATGCTGCTGATGATGATGATGATTGTGATGGTGACGGTGATGCTGATGATGACGATGGTGCTGATGATGATCATGATGCTGATGCTGCTGATGATGATGGTGGTGCTGATGATGATGCTTATGAGGATGCTGATGATGACGATGCTGATGCTGATGCTGATGCTGATGCTGATGCTGATGCTGATGCTGTTGATGATGATGATGATGGTGAACATGTTGATGCTGATGGGGACAATGATGATAAGGATGAGGATGATGATGATGATGGTGATGATGATGCCGATGACGGTGATGATGCTGATGGCGATGATGGTGAAGATGATGATGATGCTGATGATGCTGATGATGATGATGATGATGCTGCTGATGCTCATGATGTTGATGATGGTGACGATGACGATGACGATGACGACGATGATGAGGATGCTGACGATGCTAAGTGAGGTAATGGTCATGATGATGATGAAGCTGATGCTGGTGATGATGATGATGGTGCTGACGATGATGATGATGATGATGTTGATGCTGCTGATGAAAATGGTGGTGCTTTGATTGATGCTGATGTTGCTGATGATGTGCATGACGATGATGATGCTGATGATGCTGATGATGCTATTGATGATGATGAAGATGATGGTGATCATGATGACGACGATGATGGTGGTGATGATGGAGATGATGCTAATTGTGATGATGATGGTGCTGATGATGATGAGAAGGAGGAGTGACCAAGCTCGGGGCGCTTTGTCGCGAAGCGAACCCCACTCTGCCCTCTGCCCCTACGTGGTACGATGCTCTTGCTCCCCTTCGCTGCAGTCGCCGGCTACACTTACTGCTGTTGCGCCCTTGGAATAAGGAAGCGGTTCGAAGACGAAGGAAGGTCGACAGGAGGACATCAGTGCTGTGTGTGTATTGCGATGGGCGAGGAAGTACGATGATGATGATGATGATCGTATTGATGCAGCTGATGCTGTTGTCGGTGATGATGGTGATGGTGATGATGATGGTGATGATGTTGATGGTGATGGTGATGGGTAAGGGTGGATGTGGATGTGAATGTGGATGTGGACTTGGACGTGGATAAGGATGATGATGATGGTGCGGAGGAGGGGGAGGAGGAGGATTATGATGATGAGGAGGATGAGGATGATGATGAGGATGATGATCAGGATGATGACGATGATGCTGATGCTGATGCTGATGCTGATGCTGATGCTGCTGCTGATGCTGATGAGGACGATGACGATGATGATGGCGATGATGCTGCTGCTGATGATGATGATGATGCAGTTGATGGTGATGATGATGATGATCATGATGATGGTGATGACGATGATGATCATGATGCTGATGCTGATGCTGATGATGCTGATGCTGATGCTGATGGGGAGGATGATCCTGATGATCATGATGATGCTGCTGATGATGCTGATGATGATGCTTACGATGATGACGATGATGATGATGGTGATGATGATAATTATGATGATGATGATGATGATGATGATTGTCACGATAATGCTGATGATGATGCTGCTGATGATGATATGATGGTGGCCATGATCGTGATACGATGATGATGCTGGTAATGATGCTGGTGTTCATTAGTGTGATGATGATGAGGATTATGACTAATGATGATGCTGCTGATGATGATGATGAGGATGATGATGAGGATGATGATGATGCTGCTGATGATGATAACGACGACGATGATGACGTAGGGCTGCTGGTGATGACGACCAGCAGGAGGATGAGGACGAGGGGAGGAGGTAGAGGAGACGGAGGGAAGGAGGAGATGGAGTAGAGGCGGGGACCCAGGTATGATTTGACGTCTTTGTTGTCACAGGCCTCTAGGGGGTCCTCGTCGCTATTGCTGACTAGACCCATTTCGAAATCCTGCTCGGAACGCGCTCCAAGACAAGACCAGGGTCTGATTTTCAGGTGGGGGAGGGGAAGAGGAATGGGGAAGGCGGAGATGGGACAGGGCTTCGTAGTAGAGGGAAGGCGGAAGGAGGAATGGGGAAGGCGGAGGGGGGAATGCGGAAGGCGGAGGGGGGCCAATGCTCCCTTCGCTGGGCTTGTCCTCCTCCTCCTCCTCCTTCTACTACTACTCCTCCTCCTCCTCCTCCTCCTCCTCCTCCTCCTCCTCCCTCTCCTTCTCCTCCTCCCGTCTCCGCCTCCTGAGCTCGCGCATCTACTTCTCAGCCGGCGCAAACTACCAGCCGCAATGGTCAAGATCAGCGTGCTCCGGGACTGCCTGAACGGCATCGTCAATGCGGAGAAGCGCGGGAAGCGCCAGGTGCCGGAAGCCGGCAACCATACACCACCACCAGCCCTGGCCACCCCCATCCTTACAGTGGAGACCCATGCCAAGAAACAACCTGCTTGCCTCTAGGGTGCCCTGGGTTTTCTTGGGTTTTCTTGGGTTTCGATGGTTTTGCTCTGGGAAGCGTGACGTTCCCACACCAAAAATAAATGGACGTCCTGGGGTCTCAGGATTGGGTTTCTTGTGGAAGGTTTCTTGAGGTCGGGTCCCTACTGTATTCAGCTGGGCCCTCGGCTCGTGTCCAGAGGCCCCCAGCGGCCTTTGGGCACACCGAGGGAGGAGTTGGCCTGCCAGCGGTCGCTTCGCGATCTGTCGTGGTGGCTTTCGATGGGCCCGCAGAGCCTCCCCATGGCGGCTCACGCAGCTCAGACTTGACGAGTGTTGACTTCCCTCCATGGATCTCGTGTGGCAATTTTCTGTTCAGCGTCGGTGCCTACTGTAGTCAGGCCGGGAGCTGCGATGCTCTGTTTGTTTTTTGCCTTGTGGTGCTCGAGCTGTCGTGGCACCTGGGCCTCTCGTCGAGAGTCTGAGGAACATGTCGGCGGTCCCGCGCTGCATTCTGCTGCCCCTGTGCTGCTGCTCGCGTGCCAGACTCGATGGCCCTCAGGGCGTGTGCTCGCCCAAGGGTTCACCCCGTTCAGCTGCACCGATCGTGCGCAGCCTGCGCCGGCCCTCCCTGCATCGTCTGCGTCGCACTTCTGCAAGAACGGAATGGGCACGGAAAGAATGGGTACAATGCCCAACAGCGGATCCTGTCCATCTTGAACGGGACTCGCTGTCCGCGCCGCCGCGGCCCGTGTCCACTCGAGACAGAAGGCCGCCTGCCCGACAGCGGCCGCTGTCGGTTCGGGACAACATTTGCCGTTGGGCATTGTGCCCATTAGTTGAGTGCCCATTTCGGGCGTCCAAAGGGACTCGGACCCCATCTGGGAGGCGGAGGAGGAGGAGCAGGAGGAGGAGGAACAGGAGGAGGAGGAGGAGGTAGGAAGGTGGAGGAAGAGGAGGAGGGAGGAGGAGGAGGTGGAGGAGGAGGAGGAGGAAGCAGGAAGTAGGAATGTGGTGGAGGAGGAGGAGGGGGAGGAGGAGGAGGAGGGGGAGGGAGGAGGAGGAGGAGAGGAAGCAGGAGGTAGGAAGGTGGAGGAGGAGGAGGAGGAGGAGGAGGAGGAGGAGGAGGATGGGAGGAGGAGGAGGAGGAGGAGGAGGAGGAGGAGGAGGAGGAGGAGGAGGAGGAGGAGGAGGAGGAGGAGGAGGAGGAGGAGGAGGAGTCCTAGACCCCATCTGGGAGGCCTAGACGATCGAGGGCCTGGGTGGTCAAGCGCCCGGTGGCGCCCAGCGCGCGTGGCGGGGGCCAGCGACGCACCTCCGGAGATCGTGTCCAGGCGGCCGGGCCTCGGCCGGCGGGGCCTGCACTATACGTAGGGTGACGTCGGGCGTGTCCCTCTGCAGGGGGAATGTCCAAAGATAGTAAAAATAGTCTGGCGACGAGTTTTTGACTTTTGAATATTTTTGGAGGATGTTTTTTTTTGTTTTTGTTTTTCTTTTTCTTTTTTTTTGTGTATGTGTGTGTGTGTGTGTTTTAATTTTTTTTCATTTTTCGCCCGAAATCCCCCTGTAGGGTGACATCCCCGACGTAAGCGTAGGGATGCGAAGAACGACGTGCGCATAAAAACTCGGCGGTCCGCGCGGACTTCTCGGCTCGGCGCTGGCACCTCCTCCCTGGCGGCCGCCTCCGGCGCTTCCTGGAACCTGGCGGCGCCTCGCTGGAACCTGCTTCATGCTTCTGCGCGCTTCCTCCGACCGACGGGGGCAAGTGACGTGACACCGCTGCTGGTTCCAGGATGGCCAGAGGCGGTCGTGTGCCGTCAGGGGAGGGAGGAGGTGGAGGAGGAGGGAGGGAGGGAGGGAGGGGGTGGAGGTGGAGGCATGTGCAAGGAAGGGGGGTGGAGGAGGAGGGAGGGAGGTGGAGGAGGAGGGAGGGAGTCTGCGGGCGCTGCTCCCGGAGGAGCCTCCCGCTCTCTCGGCCGGCTGCCGTCCTCGGCCGCGCAGCACGCCGTCCCGTGGCCCGAGGCTGGTCCTGGGCAGGGCCCCCTTCCTCCCTCCTCCTCCTCCTCCTCCTCCTCCTCCCTCCTCCTCCTCCTCTCTCCTCCTCCTCCTCCTCCTCCTCCTCCTCCTTATCCTCCTCCTCCCCCTCCTCCTCCTCTCCTCCTCCTCCTCCTCCTCCCTCCTCCCTCATCCTCATCATCATCATCATCATCATCATCGTCCCCTCCTCCTGTCCCCTCTCCAGGCCTGGAGTTAGGTCGGTCAAGACCTCCCACAGGCGGGTGTTGGACGAAAAGTAAAACATACTCCAAACGTGTTCAAAAAATTGTTCAAACATAGTCAGAGCATCGTCCCCAGACTGTTTTTCAATCAAGTGTTGAATCTTCCTCCTGTAGAGGGACATGCCCGACTTACATCTGGAGCCCCAGCTCATGTTCCACGGATCTTGCTTCTGCAGCGTGGGCCCCCTCCTCCTGGACAGTCTCTCCACCCTTAGCCGTTCTTGCACGGTGGTGCCAGGCTCCCGGTGAAGACCACCGAGGGCCGACCACAGCGCAGCATTTTCCGTCGTGATTCTTTGTCGCATCGCGAGGAGGTCCGAGTTCTTTCTCCTCCGAACGGCATGGCTTTCGGGCCAGAAGTTCGGGCCCCCCGCGGCCGCTCCGACGATCTGGGTACCCTCTGGGCCGCTCTCGGCGAGGCGCAGCGAACCTCCAACAGCCAACGGACCCCCCGCACATTTACAAGTCGACCCTCCTCTTCCTCCGATGAAGAGGAGGAGGAGGAGGAGGATGAGGAGGAGGAGGAGGATGAGGAGGAGGAGGAGGAGGAGGAGGAGGAGGAGACGGACAACGCCCAGCCAGACGCCGCTGATTGTCTCGGGAGATCCTTGATCGCTTGAGGTGCCCAGAGATGGGTGGCCTCCAGAGGCCCCACGTAAGGGCAACGGTGTCGAGCAACCATCGAGTCTCGATCATCGGATCTTCATGTGGCGGCGGTGCACAGGCTACCGCTCGCCAGGGGAGAGGGGGTTGGGAGGGAGGAGGAGGAGGAGGAGTAGGAGGAGGAGGAGGATGATGATGAGAAGAATCAGGAGGAGGAGGCGGAGGAGGATGAGGATGAGGAGGGGGAGGATAGGGAGACGTATGGGAAGGAAGGGGAGGGTAAGGAGGAGGTGGTAGGGAGGAGGAGAGTAAGGAGAAAACGTAGAGGAACGAAGAGGAGGCGAAGGAGGGGGATGCGAAGAGGGAGTAGGATCTCCAGGAGGAGGAGGAAGAGGAAGAGGGTTCCGAAGGTACTCGTCAGGCCCAACTCGAAAGTGATAATCAAGTTCCTGCAGGTGATGCAGAAGAAGGGCTACATCGGCGACCTCGAGGCGCCCTGCAAGCTCGTCGTCGGCGCCCTGCTCCCCCTCCTCGCATTCCTCCTCGCCCTCCTTCTTCTCCTCCTCCTCCGCTCCCTCGCGTCCAGCTACGTCGTCTTCCTGCTGCTGCTGCTGCTCCTCCTCCTCCTCCTCGTCATCATCATCATCATCATCATCATCATCATCATCATCATCATCATCATCATCATCATCATCATCATCATCATCATCATCATCATCATCATCATCATCATCACCATCACCATCACCATCACCATCAGCATCAGCATCAGCATCAGCATCAGCATCAGCATCATCATCGTCATCATCATCCTCATCATCTTCCTCCTTCTCCTCCTCCCTTCTCCCTCCATCCGTAGCCATTTTGGCTCACGCTATTTTGGCTCAGCCCCCTTTGGGCCCATGGGGGCCTTCGGCACTCGCACTTCAGAGAGGCGCAGCGTACGGGTGCCACGGTTGGCGTGACCTGCTCCATGGACAGGTTGTTCGTTAAGAGTTCTGGGCAGTGATGTGACTCCGATCGCTATGGGTGTTCTGGCTGCTTCTGGAGTTCTGCGTGATTTTCGATGCTTTTCTACTTCCTGGTGAAGGACGAGCGGCGCATGCTGCTCGGAGTCGCAAGCTGCGTGGCGCATGTTGAGAGAGCTCGGCGTCCGAGGCTCGTGAGATGCCCCTTCGGCCCGATGGCGTGGAGCTGTATGGAGAGGCCTGGCCGCTCCTCAGCCGTCCAGAGAGTTGCTGTGACTGCTCGGCCAGGTGGGAAGCTCGTCGGCGATTTTACTTCCCTAGGGGGGCCTTGGAGCCTCCGGGGGGCAGATCGACCGTGAGGTGAGCTCCCGGGCGTCGCTGACGGCGGTCGGGGTGCCCGACTCCTGGCGCCCGGTCCTGGGGCCGCCAGGCGCGCGTGGGGTGCGGCCGCCTCGCCTGGGCCTCTGCCTCCTCTCGCCACCGCCGTTGTGATGCTCGCCTCGAGGTGCTCGCCGCCACTGGGCGGCGGTGGCGTGTCCGGGGCGTCGCTTCCCCTCGGCTCGGCTGGGCAGTGGCAGCGGCGCCTCGTGCCTCTGCGTGGGGCAGGGGTGCTTTTTGGGCTTGGCGCCAGGGCTGCAGACTCACCGCGCATCATCAGGACACTCAGGACCCCATTCTCCCTCCTCCTCCTCCTCCTCCTCCTCCTCCTCCTCCTCCTCCTCCTCCTCCTCCTCCTCCTCCTCCTCCTCTTTCGAATCATCATATAATAATGACCATCCTGATCACTCCCTCCTTCTCCCCCTCCTCCTCTTCATGCTTCTCCTCTCCTCCTTCCTCCGCCATCATCCCTCCCCATCGTTGCCCTCACCCCTCCGAGTGGAGGGGCAGAGAGGGGGGAGAGAGGGAGGGCTGGGATCGAGGATGGGGGGCACGGGAGGCAGAGGAGCAGGGAGGACGGAGAAGGGAGTGTCGCTGGGGAGATTATCGCGGTCGAACGAGTGGCCAGGAGGCGCGGGCGCCCCGAAGGCCTCGCGGCCGAGTTTCGACACGCGGGCCGACCCCGTGCCAGACTCGGAACGGCCAAGGTTTTGGCGGTGAAAGGGCCGATTCGCGGTTGGATGCCTTCCGCTCCGCGGTGACGGCCAGGAGGTGCCCCGGCCCTTCTGGCATTGCCGGTGTCTCGGCGCCAGCCCCTCGCATCTGCAATCCCCGCACTCTGGTTGAGGCAAGGGCCACCTCCACACACGGCGCGGATCTTCCGCCGATGCGCTGCATCGCAAGACGGTTGTGCACGCCTGCGCCCTTCTCGCACGAGCTGCTCGCAGCGCTGCAGCTGTGTAGCCGATGCCACACTTCATGCCTTCTCACACGAGCCCCCGGTGGCAACAGAATGCCTGTTGCCACTGCCTGCTTTCTCACATGATCGCCGCTGCCTGCTCGTGCTTGTTACACGCGCACTCTTGAGAGCCTCCTCCGCATGGGCAGGCACCGGAGACAACACCAGCGGAGCGCAACGCCATCGGCTACAGAAGCGACGACCAGGCCCCGCCAGTGCCGAAGCACGAGCCACACCGTCAGCAGCAGCGATGGGAGCAGCACGCGCGGCAACAACCCTGGGCAAACGCCATCAGCCACCGTGCAGCAGGCGCGACAGGCTGCGGCCCACGCCGTCCGCCGAGTTCGGGTGCAAGGCCCTGCACGCTGGTGCCGCAACGAGCTCCATGCGGAGGAGGAGGAGGAGGAGGAGGAGGAGGAGGAGGAGGAGGGGGAGCGAGGAGGAGGAGGAGGAGGAGAGGAGGAGGAGGAGGAGGAGGAGCACGAGGCCTTCGCTCCTCCCCCTCCTCCTCCTCCTTGCTCCTCCTCCTCCTCCTCCTCCTCCTCCTCCTTGTGATTCGCGGCCTCGGCAGCGGTCGCGCCAGCACCGGCGATCGCCGAGTGGCCGCGGCGGTGGGGCGCGCCGGCGGCCGCGGCGTCACCGCGGAGGGCCGGGAGGCCAGCGGTGGCCTCGCAGCTGCTGGCGGGCGGTGGGCCGCTCCTGCTCCTGCTGCTCCTGCTGCTTCTGCTGCTACTGCTGCTCCTGATTGCTATCATTTCCTCCTCCTCCTCCTCCTCCCCCTCCCGGTTCGCGTTCTCCTTCTCCAGCTCTGATCATTCTCCTCCTCCATCCTCATCGTCCTTCGGATCATGCATCCCCTCTCCTCTCCTCACTGCATTCCATCCTCCTCCTCCTCTCATCCTTCGCCTCCTTCTCCTCCTCGTTGTCCTCCTACGTATTCCTCGTCTGCTTCCTCTTTCTTCCCTGTGCCACAGATCATCGACGACCACCGCGCTGGCAAGGTGGTCGTGGATCTCATCGGCAGGATCAACAAGTGACGAGGGGAGGGGGGAGGGTGCTGCAGGGGCCCGAGGAAGGGGAGGGGGGAGGGAGGAACAAGATAGAGGGAGGAGGGAGGAGGGAGGGAGGATGGAGAAGGGAGGAGGAGGGAGGAAGAGGAAGAGAGGAGGAGGAAGAAGAGGAAGAAGTGGAGGAGGAGGGGGGGAGGAGGAGGAGGAGGAGGAGGAGGAGGAGGAGGAGGAGGAGGAGGAAGAGGACAAGTGTAAACCCACAGCGCACCAGCGAGGTTGCAATAAGCCCTCCCTCCAAGTTCCTTCTTCGCAGGTTGGTGTGTTTTCATTTCTGGAGTTGCCCAATTAGAAGACAGCCCTTTGAGAATCCTGAGCCGTGTCCAAGAAACGTTCCTTGGATTCTCACGCCGCGAATCGACGTCACTGTTGCTTCCTGGCAATCTTAAATCGCGCCAGGATGCCAGTTCTGGGACCTCAGCGCAGCGAATCAACGTGATTGCTTGTTGCGCACAGACAGTCCCGAGTCGTGCCAGAAGGCCGTTCCAGAGATTTTCCCCATACGAACCCTCAAACCGGATTCATGTGCGCGGCGATACGGTGTGGGCGTTCGTTACGGAATGTACGGATGAGGTTTCAGACTCTGGAGGGCTCTTTATCTACAGTCAAGACGCTGACATCAGGAACAGTTTGGGTTCGGAAGGGGCTCGATGTTACTTAGGTTCCTCCAGTGCTGTTCCTCTTGCCATCCTGGGGCACGGAGGCGCTTACAGGACCAAGAAGGGGCTTCGTTCCTGATTTAGCGTTCCTTCTTTCAGCGGCCCGACTGCAGTGGTGGCGGTGGTGATATTCATGGCCATCCCACGCGTGGAGTTCCACCGACGTTCAGACCATGGATTCCTTATCCAAGTGTTCCTGAGCAGCAGTTTGAAAAAGGAAGGAGCCTTCGTCCATCCTGGAAGCTCTTGCGATTGTTTGAGGCGATTTGCGCGCGGTGCGAGGGCGAGGACCACCTTTTCGAAAGCCACCCGCGCTCTATCCTGAAGCTGCTGCACGCTTTTCGGGACGAACGTGAGCGGCGCGATGGCGAACGCCACATGTTTAAACAACGACCCGCCATCGCGTTGGGAGCTGCTGTGCCCTCTTAGGACGAAGGTGCGCGGCGCCAAGGCGAGAACAACATCTTGAGAAAACCATGCGCCCTCCATCCTACGAGCTGTTGCACATCCCAATATACGTCGATGACTGAATATTGAGCTTTGGAGTGGTCTCTCGATGTAGTATTTACGACTGTCTTGGAGGATGGAGAACAGAGGGGGTAGGGTAGTGGGCAGGTACGACGTGTGCTCGACCCATCGTCCGTAATTGAAAGAATGAGCGAAAGAAAGGGTCAGGATCATACGTGGTGGGAACGCCTCAGGCGGCCCGTCCGGCCCGCCACACCGATTCGCCCGTGGGTGCGACAGGGAGGAGTTGTTCATCAGGGAAGCGGACTCGGGCGGAAGCGGAGGCGGCGGCGGAGGAGAAGGACGAAGAGTGAGCGAGCCGGAGGAGCGGTGTGCGTATGGGGGGAGGAGGAGGAGGAGGAGGAGGAGGAGGAGGAGGAGGAGGAGGAGGAGGAGGAGGAGGAGGAGGAGGGAGGAGGATGGAGGAGGAGGGGGGGCACCCGATCTCTCGGGGTGCGCGCAGTGTGGGGCGAGGGGCGTGCGCCTCGGCGCCGCGCGGCCCGTGGCGGGCCGAGGTGCGGCGTGATCTCGCCCCGCTTCGACGTGGCGCTGGGCGGCATCGAGCAGATTGCGAGCCGGGGCGGCCGACGCCGACGACGACGCCGACGCCGACGACGGCGGCGGCGGCGACGACGACGGCGACGTCGACGACAAAGACGAGACGACGACGACGACGCTGGCGACGACGACGACGACGACGACGCCGACCACGCCGACGACGACGACGACGATGACGTCGCGTCGGCGGTTGTCGCGCGTGTCTGGAAGCGCTCGTCGCCACGGCCGGGCGCAGCATTCGAAGGTGTGGCCAGAAGGCATTCGCGAAGTGGTCCAGTTTGAGCGCCTGGGAGGACAGGGAAGCGGAGAGGGAGAAGGCGCAGGAGGAGGAGGAGGAGGAGGAGGAGGAGGAGGAGGAGGAGAGTTTGGAAGAAAAAGGAGGAAGAGGGATCGAGGATCGAGGAGGAGCTGCTGGAGGATCGAGGAAGAGGAGGATGAGGGAGAATGGAGGAGGAAGACGGAAGAGAAAGATGGAGGAAGAGGAGGAGGAGGAAGAGGGAACCCAGCCCGGAGTCTCATTCTCCTCACCACCTTTGCACTCCCTCTTCCTCTCCTCTCCTCCTCTTCCCCCTCTTCTCCTCCCTCACCCCTTCTCTCCCCCGCCCCCCCCTCGACGACGACGACGACGACACCGACGACGACGCCGACGCCGACGCCGACGCCGACGCCGGCGACGACGACGGCGACGGCGACGACGACGACGACGATACGACCACGACGACGCAACGACGACGACATGGACGACGGCACTTCCGACGCTACCAGCGACGACATCAGGAACAACGACATCGACGACGACGACGTCGAATACATCAGCAACGGCGGCATGGACGACATGGATGGCATGGACGACGATGACGGCGACGACGACGGCGATGACGACGACGACAACGACGACAACGACGACCACGACGACGACGACGACGACGACGGCGGCGGCGGCGGCGACGACGGCGGCGGCAGCGAATGCGGCGGAGCGGCGTCCTGGGCAACCGAGGCGAGCGACCTCCTGCCGTCGCGCCAGTTCGGCCACGTCGTGCTGACCACGCCCTACGGCATTATGGACCAGGAGGAGGCCTCGTCGTCGTCGTCGTCGTCGTCGTCGTCGTTGTCGTCACCTTCGTCGCCGTCGTCGTCGCCATCGTCGCCGTCTTCGCCGTCGTCGCCATGGTCGCCGTCGTCGCCGTCGTCGCCGTCGTCGCCGTCGTCGTCGTCGTCGTCGCCGTCGTCGTCGTCACCGACGCCGTTGTCGATGTCGTCGTCGATGCCGTCGCCGTCGCCGTCGTTGTCGCCGTCGTATGGAGTTATTTTGGGATAGATTCTCTTCCCCCCCGTCTTCCTCGCTATTACTCCTTCCCGCCTTCCTTCCCTTCTCTTTCCTCCTCTTTCCTCCTCCGCCTCCTTATCATCATGCTCGTCTGCCCTCCTCGTTTCTCCTCCGTCTCAGGAGCATGTTTTTTGGGGGGCGGGGGAAGGGCGAAGCAAGGCGACCCTCTTTCAGCCCAAGGATGAGCCGACTCTGGGCGCGCACGGCCTGGCTGAGCCCGCGGGAAGGTGGAGAATGAGGAGGGTATCAAGCAGAGGATCAGGTGGAGGAGGTGGCGGTGGATGGGGAGGAGGACGACGACGACGAGGACGAGCGGGACAACGAGACAGAGCAGACCCAGCCTCCGTACTGGCCGAAGCGGGTTGTTCGGAGTGGCCGGGTCGGTGATGCCGCGACCGGGGCGGCCCAGGAGGCAGCAGCACGGGAGGTGGGGCTGTTCGGGGGATAGTTATCGAAGAGTGGTCTGTTCGGACCAGTTGTGAAGGGATGCTGTCGCGTCGGGGCCGAAGTGATGACGGCGACGACGGTGAGGAGGTTGATGGTGATTGTGCTGATAGTGAACAGGATGAGTAGTGCGAAGCTAAGTCAGATGATGATTATGATGCTGACTTGTATGATGATGCTGTTGCGGACGATATCGACGACGAAGGTGGGCTGCACTTGCACGCTTTTCCGCGGCGCATCTGTTCCCCCGCTCCCTCTCTGGGCCTCGGGGTGGGGTCCAGAATGCATAGTTGTATTGCTCGGGCGATGTCTTTTCCCTCGCCCGCCGGTGCCAGCGCTTGCTCATGCTTTCCGTACGACGTTTGTGTTTCCCCCCTTCGGCGCGTTTCCCTCTTTCCTCTACGCCGTGCTGCTTTCTTTCCCAGGTCCCATCGAGACGCCTACTCTTGTTCCCCTCACGGACGCTCTTGCCCCCCGGGACATCATTCTCCCTCCGAGGGGGGCAGGCAAACCGGGGAGGCGTGCCGAAGCGTGCTGGCTCGCCTCTGGTGCACCCAGCGGCCCCAGGGGGCTGCTGGGGAGGCTCCCCCGGCTTTCCAGCGTGCTGCAGCAGCCCTCCAGTCAGAGGAGGAACAGATACCGCTGCCGCCACCCGGCCCTCGTTTTCGCCTTTGGGGGGCCTCCTTGGAGGCCCGTGTCGCCACTCCCCGCGCCCTGGGAGAGGTCCGGGGAGTGGCGGTATCGGTACCTCTTTGCTTGCCCATCCAGGCTTGCGGTCGGGATTTTTGTCTCAGCGTGTTGCGTTGCGGGTTCTGGCCCACCACGCTTCGGAGCGGCACGCTATCCACGTCCCAGTCGCGTAAGCGTCAGTGTTCATCGAGGATAAAAGAACCCCTAACCGTGATAACACAGTGAAGACGTGGCCTCACTGAGGTCCCCGTCTTTCCATGAGGGATGATCGAGCTGGGCAGTTTGCTTCGATACATTTGCAGAACAGACCCCTACCCCTAATCTAATGTTTCTGGCGCTCCTGAATTTGGTCCCCTCCTAAAGGATTAGGGGCCCCTTTTTGGTTCATCACTTGTCTCGCGTTCTCCCTGGCCTCCCTCCTCCGAAGAGCGGAGCGACACGCCGGCACCCCGCAGAAGGCATACTTCTAGCGCGCGTCGCCGGGGCCGCCGCCGCGGCACGGTGAGCAAGCGCTCCTGGTCCAGCGGCCTCCACTGACAGGACGTTCCGCGCAGTCCAAGGCCCAGCGGTGCGCCGCTGCGGCGGGCATTCCACGGCCGACGCAGCGGTCGGTGTAGGAGGCCGAGCGACACGAACGACGAGCACGACGGTGGTCACAACAGCAACGCGACGGCGACGACGACGACGGCGGCGACGGCGACGACGGCGACGACGGCGGCGGCGGCGGCGGCGACGGTCATCGCCGAGGCCCGCAGGAAGCACACCGGCGGCAAGATCCTCGGCTTCTTCTTCTGAGGGGGGGTGGCCGGCCGCCTGTCGCCGAGGTGCAGTGCGCGTCGGCGCGGCCATCGGGGGCGACGAGGGGGCAGTGCGCTGCGGTGGACGTTGCAGCAGGCAAAACGCGCCGGATCGCCGCCGCTCCAGCCAGGGGCAACGATATGGGGGGGGGGATAGGCACATGGACACGGGGGGACGCATCGGTCCCCAATCGTCCATCGATCGCCAGTAATTAGGGGCCCGACGGCCCCAGCCCGCCGAGGAGCGTGCGGCTTCGCTGTCGGGGGCCTGTCGCCTATCTGTTGGCGATGCATCGCCGATTCCAGTCCGTGGCTACCCCCCCACCTTTTCCGATCCGCCCCTATCGTTGCCCCTCACTCACAGGAGGAGAGGTCGGATTTCATAGTCAAGCGGACGGGCCACAGGCTTTCCAGACGAGCAGTTTTAGAACCCGCACCCCAGGCCAGCCATGAGAGGGCGGCATTGATCAGACCATCCCAGCAAGCGAGACCACGCCCCTTCTGTTCTGAAACCCAGAGCCGATACCGCTGCCGGCTGCCCGTCACTCGTCTAGGAGGCCGCATGCGAACCCTGCCCCACCACCCCAGGATTTCTGAGGGGGAAGGTGGAGTTCACTTCGTTCGGCACCTCCCCAGCGAAGTGACCGCCCCCCCCCTCCCCATCCTCCTCCTCCTCCTCCTCCTCCTCCTCCTCCTCCTCCTCCTCCTCACTCGCTCCTCGTCCTCCTCCTCCTCCTCCTTCCTCCCTACTTCCTCACTCGCTCCTCCTCCCTCATCCTCCTCCTCCCTCCTCCTCTCCTCTCCTCCTCCTCCTCCTCCTCCTCCTCCCTCCTCCTCCCCTCCTCCTCCTCCTCCTCCTCCTCCTCCTCCCTCTCCCTCTCCCTCTCCCTCTCCCTCTCTCCTCCCCCCCGCTCAGCAATCGGGGGGTGGTGGGGCAGGGCTCGCACGTGGCCTCCTGCCGCCTTCGTCTTCCCGGGGGCCTCCCGGGAGGCCCTCGGCCGCCACGGCGGGAGTGGCCTCGAGAGCCCGTCGGAGCGCACCCAGGGCGGGACCCAGGGAGTCTAGCGTTAAGTCGGGCACGTCCTCTTGCAGGAGGGAGATTTTCAAGAACAGTCACAACAATAGCCTGGCGACGGTTTCTGGCTTGCTTTGTTGGGCATTCGGGGCCGTGATTTTGGGACTCGTTTTTTGTGCTTCGTCCAGAATCCGCCTGTAGGAGGACATGCCCGATCTGAGTCTAGCGGTTTCGGTCAGGGCCCACTGCACCGGGACCTGTTGATGAACTATGACGTCGGCGCGCCCGAGGACACGGCAGCGGTGCGTCGAGCCAACCCTCCATGTGGAACGAGAAAAACCATGCCTGCCTCCAGGGTGCCCTGGGTTTCTTGGGTGTCGATGGTTTTGCTTGCTATGGGGAGCGTGACGCTCCCACACCAGAAGTCGATGGACGTCCCAGGGTCTCAGGGTTGGGCTTCTTGTGGAAGGTTTCTGGTGGTCGAGCTCCTGCTGTTTTCGTTCTCTCCGGCTGGAAATCTGAGAGTCCTGCCTCGCAGTGCCCGGGCCAAAGGGGGGGCCCTGACACCTCTGGGGTCTCCCAGGGTCGCCCTCGCTGTCCGAGCCCTCGCCCTCCTCATTTCTCCCACGTCCCCGAGGGGGAGGGGCGGATGGGCGTGGCAGGGGGGGATGAAGGAGGCAGGGGGGGGAAGGTGGACTGGGCAGGATGGGAGAGCGAAGGGATAGAAGCATGACGAGCGAAGGCAAGGAGGAAGAGAATGAGAAGGTGAACGAGGATGGCAAGAAGGAGCATTATGCAGATTAGGAACAGGGCGAGGAACAGGATGATGACGAGTATGGAGAGGGAAGGGAACGAGTATTGAGATGCTAAGGCAGCGCAAAGCAAAGCAATCCGAAGCGAGGAGTGCAATGCAAGACAATACCCGTCAAAGCGAAGCTGTGGGCAAGGCAGACCTTACCGAAGGTAGGCATCCATGAAGTGTAGAGCCATGTGCAGCAACTGAACTTCAGAAAGCGCAAACCATAACGTAACACACAAGGCAATACACGATGCAATCATCAACGCAATCCACAGTGCAACGCAATGCAAGACGCAATGCAATGCATCACAAAGCTGAGCAACATACAGACACATGCACATACAAGCAAGCTAGCGCAGTGCAAACCAGACCAGCAAAGTAGAGCAAGGCAATACAAATCAGTGCAGTGCCAAGTGTCTGGGAGCAAGTCAAAGCGAGGCAGAGCGGAGCGAAGCATGGCGACAAAACCCCGCTGTGGAGCACGATGGGGGGGCCGTCCCCGAGGAGCTGGTAGGAGGGAGGAGTTTGATGAAGATGCGCAGATGGGAAAGCGGGGGAGGGGCGATGGGGGACAGTGCCATCCTCCAGCCTTCTCTTCTCTCCGTCCTCCTTCCCCGCTCTCCCTGCCCTTCGTCCCTCGTCATCCTCTTCCCCGCTGCCGTTCCCCTGCGCCGGCTAATTCAGTCCTCTCTCTCTCAGCTCCCCTGCCTGCCTCCAACAGGCCTGGCTGCGCTGGAGCTCCTGAAGGACACGAAGCCCGAAGTTGTCGACAGGCACGGCCTCCTGCCTGCTTTCCAGGGGCATTGAACTCCAGTCGGTGGCTGCCTTCGCATATCTCTTGGATCACCTCGGGCCTACCACCTTTTCTTGCATTCACCGCGCGGGTGAAAACAGGAAAATCACAAGACACATGAAGGATACAGGAAACGATATAATCTTTCAGAAAACACATATAATACACGACAACGCACAACCAAAGAGAGAGAGAGAGAGAGAGAAAGAGAGAGTCACACGTCGGCGGCTGCGTGGACTTAGAAGCGGGGGAAGCAGCAGCAGCCTCAGCGGCAAGAGCAGGCGGAGAGGGAGGAGAAGGAGCAGGGTGAGGGTGAGCCCGTCTTTTCTGCCGACTTCATGCTGCACGATGCCAGCGTCGCACGTTGTAGTAGCGCGCCCATCTAACACCGCGATGGCATTTTATGTGGCAGGAGTGCAGCTGCAGTGTGAGGGCGGTGGATGGACAGGATGAGGCGGCGGATGAGGGGGAGGCGGAGAAGGATGAGAGCGGGGAGCACGAGCATGAGGATTGGTAGGGATCAGGAGGAGGATGAGGAGGAAGAGCACGAGCCGTACAAAAATGAGACTGAGGATCACGGTGGTGACGCTGGCGATACTGCTGGTCAGGAGGAAACGAGACGTGAGGAATGACAGGAATATGCACAACGATCAGGAAGAGAAGGAGGAGTCTGATGAGGACGAGGAGGAAAAGGGTCATGGGATGTGGATGTGAGGGGGTGCTGGGGAATGAGGACGATGAGGAGAAACATAATATGAGAAGAAAGGCAATGTAGAGGAGGGAGGCTGTTAAGCGTTTGTACACTGTTTGTTCGAAGAGAAGGGGAGGAGAAGGTTGAGGAGGCGGATGATTGCGGAGGAGGGGTTCGTGATTATGTGGACGATGTTGATGTGGATGAGGATGCGGATGATGATGGTGATGATGAGGGTGATGCTGCTGATGATGATAACCGGTGATGATGCTGATGAGGATGACTATGATGACGATGCTGATGATGCTGATGATGATGCTGATGATGAATGTGGTGGTGGTGGTGACGGCGATAGTGGCGATGCTGATGATGATGGCGACGGCGATCGTGACGATGGTGATTGTGGTGGTGATGGCGATGAGGAGGATGCAGGCGATGGCTACGATCCTTTTTATTATGACGATGGTCATGGCGACGTTGTTGTTGATGACGACCATAACAATGACGATGACGGCGGTGACACTTAATTTGGCAATGGTGATGACGATGAAGAGTCGGATGACGTCAGATGGGGAGTTTGAAGCCAACAGTGCATAGCGGAGGCGACGAGAGAAGGGGTGCGTGTGTGTGTGTGGGGGGGGGGCAAGAGATGGCATGAGGGGAGATTGGAGGAGGGCGCGATGATGGTCCGATCTTCCCCCCCATCCGTCCTTTCCCCTTCTCCCTCCTCCCTCGTTCCTCGACCGTTCCTCCTCCCTGTCCCTTCTTCTTCCATCCTGACGAATGCTGAAGAAAGTGGTCGCCTCTGCAGCTGGCTCCGAGCTCCATCCCCTGCTCCTCCCTGCGGGTAGGACGCAACGAGGCATGGACGGGGCGAGGGGGACAGGGCGAGGAGGGGGATGTGGACGGGAGGGAGACGGGAGGGAAAGGGCTTTTGGGATAAGGAGGGAGAGGGGTACAGTCAACGCGCATAGTAAGGAGAAACTACTTTTTCAAGGGTACCCTTGGGTCCTTGCCTGCCTCAGCCTCTGCGGTCCGTCCCTAGCAATTTTCGCAGGCCAGTTTCTCAGGTTCCCTGGGGGTTTGGCCGCCTGCCGCCCAGAATACTTCAACTTCGGCCTCCAAGGGTCTTGCGTCCTTGCCACGCGTCCTTACTATACGTTTTCACTGTGCGCTGGATAAGCTTGCGAGGGTCGCCGTCCCGCTTCGAGTGCATCGACCGTCCGGGAGGCCGAAGAAGACGGCCTGTCGGCCTCCCAGTGCTCTCGGCGAAACGCGGCGAGGGTGGGGGAACGCACGCAGCGTGCCTTTTGGTTCTCTATGATGAGCGCGTCAGCGCGAGGCGCTACCAGTCGCCGTGGCTTTCGCAGCCAGCCGACAGCAACCCTCTTACGCTCGCTGCGGGCTCGTGGGTGCCCAGTCGCCTCGGCGCTGGCTCCGAGGCCCGAAAACCATCACTTCACTTATTTTTGGGCCCAAGGGCCCACTGAGGCCCCAGGGGCCCCAGATGAGTGAAGTGATGTTTTTCCCACGTAAGGACCTCGAAATTCATCACTTCACTAAACCGAACCCAGGACGAAAGTCAGGGGCCTAATTGCTGCTGTGATGCCACATCGGCCTCGCACGGGCAGCAGAGCATGGGAGCTTCGCTTGCTGTCCGGTGCGTGGGGACCCTTCCAGGCTGTGCTTCGGAGGGTCCC